GGGGGGGGGGTGTTGAAACATTAGACAAAAACAAAAAAAGATTTTTTCTCCTTTTAAAAAATGCTTTTTAACCAAAATTTTGTTATTTTCTTCAAATTCAGCAATAAAGCGTCTAAAAAATCATTTGCTAATATTTTTGAGGAAAATTGATTTTTTGATAAGAATGATTTAAGTACTTAAAACAATTGAATGTTCAAATTCAAACTAAAACGTTAAAAAAAAACTTTTTTCCCTTTATTGCTCTCATATTTGGACTAAAATTTTAATCTAGAAACAATAGTTTTAATCCTGTTAAATCCTATTTTAAAAACTTTAATCCTGTTAAATCCTATTTTAAAAACTTGTTTAATCCTCTCACTAATTTAGAAAGTTGGTTCTAAAGTTTTACAAATATGGATTTCAAGGGGTAAACCATTCAATACGATTTGTTTGACCTTCACCTTAATTTTTTAAAAACTTTTTCAACAGGAGGGTAATATTGGTTAAAAATCGAAATTACCATTTTAATACATTCAAAGTGTTTTGAGCTAGGAACCTTTGAATGGTGGATATCGGGATTAATGATTGATCCACAATTTTTTCTTAATCTCGAATTAATCTCCAGATTAATCTCCAGATTAATTAACCGATCGGTGTTAAGGATATCCCATTCTCAAGTTTTTAGCTCTGCGTTAATTCTTGGTTTATCTATTTCGCCTTGTCCAAGCAAACAAAGGATATACATTTATCATAATTTTCAACCCCGGATCCATCAAACACCTCCACAGTAGCAGTTATCCTAGTAAACAAATATATAATTTTAACTGACACAGGTGAAGGGGTTTAACTGAAGGATTCCAGTTTGTGAGAATGCTTATATAATAATTCAATATTTTAATTTAGAAACATCCATTTTTTTAATAGGAAAGAAAGCTAGATGATCAATAAAGAACAAAAAGGTTTATAAAACAAATATAAATAAACATAGCACATACCCCTGTGGAGTATATCCTCCTGCAGCAAGTATTTTGTCTCCTAGTGTAGTCAGGGTAAAGTAATATCTACCCACATTCATACTTTCAAACTCTATCCAGTCCATTCCNGTTCAGCATATGTTTTTTATGCCCCCCAATTGGCATCTCGACATTTGGTTAGAAATTTTATAACACCCTTGTAAACTTGAGTTCTCTGTGTTATAACACTAGTCGGACTGTAATTTCCCCCTAAGATAAGGGGCTTTTAGTTAATTGTATACATATAGGCCGAGGAGGAGATTAAAATGTTTAGAATTGAATAAAATATACCTTTAAACGTTTGCTAGCTGTATAAAATAAAATAAATACCGTAGAAAGATTAACTTTTATCTTTTTAATTCTTTTTATTACGTTTTGTTTGTTTTAATAAAATTGTGTGAAATACAATATATTCACAGAAATATATTTTACTCTGTAAATAACCTAAATTTGCCAATCAAAGAGAATAAAGTGTCAATTTTTCCAATTTGGATTTAGTTAACAGAAGTGTTACGATTTGGAGGGCTATAGGTAACATACATACATATTCTTACGCATTATCTTTTAACATATGAGGGAAATTTTATGCAATTAGTTTATATTTGAAATCAGTTTCATTTTTATAAAAAGATGATAGATAATTGACTTCATTAGAATTAGTATTTCTACCGTTTTAACAAATTATTTTTATTTTTTAAATTTTTTATTTATTTCAGGATATTCGGCCAACTCCGAGCAGTCAGTCCACCAGCAATGTGATAATAAACCCTATAGGAGTAGATGAATACAGGACTAGGAGTAGTCTTATACAGGACAGGAATAGTCTTAGTCAGGACAGATTGCAGGACAGGACTAGTAGTATATCAGACAGGTGAGCACTACCCCCCCCCCCCCNAGTTTGATTTTTTAAAAATTTGCAATATTTTTTCATCCTTAAAAAATGATAAACAAAGCTAAAAATTATTGTTTTTGGTTCGTTTCTTGCATTTATTTTTGCCTATATTAATTTGTGGGTATTTATTAATTCCAAACTTGTGTTGTAGGTTACAGGACAGGATAAGTCTGCCCGCTGACCGGCTTGGGTTGGACAGGATGGGTTTGGAGAGGGAGCGGAGCGGGATGAATAGCTCCGGGAGTGGTTCAGGATCAGAGGGAAACACAAAATTTCTCATTCCAGGTAAATCTTTAAAACAAAACTTTTTTTTTCGTGGTCATATCCTCTCCCCCCCCCCCATCCTTTAATGTTAAGTTTGATAGTCAAATGTTAGAAACTGATCACTTTCCCCAAACTCTTATTTTCTAATTAATCCTTATATCTTTCAAACTAAATAAATAAATGAATTTATAAAGATTGAAGAATGGAGGAATTAATAAAAGAAAATAGATTTTTGGTCGGGTTGTGGGGGGGGG